TCGAATCCGTTCGTACAATAATTCGGTTTACAGCCAAGCTTGGATATTTTTAACCTCGGTGAAATTCAATTCTCGATATTTCCGGCCCCGGTGCTCCATTCTGGCGGTTCGTTGCCACCGTGTATCGCGATTTATAGTCTCCTCTCTGACAAAGCCGACGATCGAATTTTCAAGTATGCCGGCGCGCGCAACATTCTTAGAGTAACGTTCGCACAAACGTTGTCGTAGTCGACGACTAAGGTGGAGCTTCCGTTTCCGGCAATGGACGTGCCGTATACGAGAATCGACGCTATTACACGCTATATTCGTCACAGCTATCCGGAGTCGTTCCTTTCCCGTAGACGGTGTATTCCTTCGTTCGTCGATTACGTTCCATCGATCCGAGACTTTCTTCAAACTATCGGATGGGAATCGTCCATAGCTTCCAAACAAAATTACAGATACGTTTTTTCTTCTTAGTAGCACACCTTGCTGATTCGGAGTATTACAAAGCGTAACGAGTTGCAATGAAAACAAAAGAGAATAAGAGTAGGTGTAGCGAAACGTACACTCTGAATGCGCTGGTTACGACTCCCGGAAGTTACACCTGCGATTCCTGCAAGTAAATTTTGGGACTCGGAATTGATATTTAAAATGATTGTTCTCATACTGTGTGACTCGAGCTTCTGATCGGTCCGTAAGAGAAAATAATCGTATTAACTACTTGTTTCCTGTTTAATTTATTTTTTTTTACTTTTACAAAGAGAAGGTAAATTGGAATACCGCTATTTGAAATTGCCTGCACCGTAACAATCGTTACGTGGTAAGCATCGCTGATTTGTGCCATCTTTAAATTAAACCGAAGGAAAGGAAGTACGATCATCGAATATACGCTTTGAGAGGATTCCTTCTGCTACGGCGAGCAGGCTATACACGTACTCGTAATTAGCAGCGCGGTAGGTTTGTTTCGGTTGGGTGTTATCGTTGCGTATCGTGGAAATTGGTGCTCCGTTCGCCATATGCTCGTCGGTACCGTTCTCGAGGCTCCTTAGAGAGCCGGTTTTCATTTCCTGTCGCCCGCGAAAGAACGGCTAACCTCGCGTCGATAGAGACTCTCCCCTTCCGCCTCTTTTTGCATACTTTCGATGCCCGCGCGCGCGTTCTTTTCCTCTCCGTCGTCGTTGTTTGCAAACCGAACGCGACGACGGAGGAGGTCCCCGTGCATCCTTGCGCAAAGTCTCGCGTTCCCTGCGATTAAACGCGTGTCTCGCTGTTCGACACGTTTGCGATCGATAGCACGTAGCGCGTATTGCGTTTCTCTCTTCTCGAAAGTTAGAAGCTGCTGCGTGGACGCCGTACCGTCTCATCGCGAACTGCGTTGAGAAAAAACCGTGTTCGGTCGCGGAGACGATAATCGTTGGTCGTTCTGCTCTACTATACGATCAACGCGAAACGTTAACGCCGTCTCGGCCGAGTTACGTTCCCGTAACTTTCAGAGCGGAAACGTTGCGGTAATAATGTCGATTAAAAATGCAGTGAAATGAAAAGGTACCGGACGATAGAGGATTCGTCCGCGTTTGTTCAGCGCGCGGAATTTTACCGGACAAAGAAATCTTGTGGACGGTCCGCTGTTCACGGGAATCTGTACGTTGATAACGATATCGCTTTGGAAACAGCGACTCCGTCGTTCCTCCGTACCTAATTGGGTTAATGCGTTTTGCAGCGAGTTGGTCTCTTCTTGGACACGACGTCGAAGGAATGTCGATTATCGTTGTCGAGTCGCGACAGCGTCGTATTCTTTGTTCGTATCGACGCGAACGGAGGCACGCAGGAAAGAAAAGAAGGGAACGTAATTCGCGCGATCGAAGATAATTGACATTAAGTAGAGCAGAGCGCCTGCAACGCGACTGTTTTCTTTGACGTTTCTCTCGCACGATCGAATTTATTATTCGAGGTTGTTGAGCTCCTCCCGGCGATGGTCGCTCGATTAACGAAAAAACATACAGAACGATCGATAGTGGAAGGCAGGTTTCAATTATTCAGCCGCGGAGGCTCGTGCACGCTGGTTCCGCGTTGTAATAGGAGGCTGCGTATCCGGCGAACCGCTCTCGCGCCCTCCTAAAATCGATTTCCATTAATTTGGGGAAAGCTATTATATTCAGCGAGTTTGTCGCGCTATTATATCATTCGGCAGCGGTTTCAGCGCGATATTCCGTTGTCCATCGCGCCGATCGGAATCGTCTATTAACAGTAACTCGTAGCGGCGGGAACAACGGTTCAAGTTTACTCGCGAGCAATTCGTAGTATTTTATGTCTACGACGTTGCAAACGAGTCCAGGAATTTATACTTTTTCCCCATTCTTCCTTCGTCCGTCGATTTTACGATTACGATCGATTCGATTAATTTCAGCCGTGCGTAGAGGTGTTCTTGATAGAAGGTCGAGGTCGTGTTGCCCGGAAACCTTAATAATCGGCTCCTCCTTTGCGAAAAGCCTTTATCCGGGCATTGTTTCCCGCACCTAAAACCGTTCTCGGTACGAAACGCAACGAGTCTACTTACCAAGAAACCGATCTCTGCTCTTCCTCTTCGAATCGTCTATCGATAACCGATTTCCGGCGCGAGAATCGCGCGTATCGTCATCGATTGTCGGTAATCGAGACTCGATACAAGCTCGCACATTCCACGCGGATTACCGTTTCTTCGGCGCGTTGGTGGTTTCGAGTAGCCGCTACGAAACAGAAATCGATAAATTGCAACGGAATATGTATATTCTACGTATTAAATTTCAGTCGGTCTTTTATAGAAAATTTGATACTTTGTAACAATTATTCGGGGAAAAGGTTCTCGCGCCTGGACCTATATTTAAACAGTTTCGAAAGCCCCGCCGAAAAAATTGAAATCACAATAAAATTGATATTAACGTACGCGAGAATTTAATGGCTGTGGTATGCGCACGGTCGGCGGTGGTGGTAGTTCGGAAATCGATACAACGTATCACCGGACGGGAACGGCAGGATTTTGTTTTGCCGTCGTTGAAAAGCAGCGCGATGCATCGAAGTCTCTGGCGAACGATAGGACGTCGAGGGAGAGAGTTGAACGTTTGTTGTCGGTGGTTAGGCCGAAATTCCGAAATTCCAGACGCGCCGAACTGTTATTTAACACGGCGCGTTCCCGTCGTCGGTGCCGAACGTTCTTCAGCGTGCCGGTTTTCGCATTAGTCACCGCCGCGAAAGGCGAAAGGCGAAAGGCGACTCTCGTGGAGCAGAGTAGCGGAGGCAGGCAGCCAGGCAGCAGCCAGGAATACGCGTATCGCATTTTGTTTCGGTCGAACGACCACCGTCGTAGTTGCCTAAACAACGTACGATTTCCAGGTAGAAGAACGCGCCACGATCGGTTCGAGATTACGGGCTACAGCCAGCGGACATTCTCGTGAACGAATCGTTGGGCGAAATACCCGATACCGTGGACCACGTTATTGTAAAGAAACAGCCTGGCATCCGGCCTGATCTTAACACGTTCACGACAAAAAACACCGATACGACTCGACTGATATAACGTAACGCGAACGCGGACCGAACGGTGACGCGAATCTACGATTCCTGCCCGATTAACTTTCGCGCAATCGATTTCCACCCACTCGTTGAATTCTGTCGAAACGCACGTATTACGGTAGGTCGTTAACCGTGTATGTACCTAGATTTACCCCTCGAATTTGCCAACGGGCAAACTGACCACTGCTATATACAGGGTGGCGTCTAGTTCCATCTTGTTTTCGAGTTACGATTCAACTATTTAAAAACAAAACTCGACGTTGGAGCTTGTATTCTACAATTAGTATTTCTGGTACGAGGTATACAAATATGTAGTAAAATTTATATTGTCTGTTAGCCGATCGATCAAGATGGATCGAACGTTCCTATGAACGCGTAGGAAATCGCAGTGTCTTGATCGTAGTTTACGCAGAAGCTTATGAAATCGAGTTTCGTCGATCTTCTCGGGGCAAATAGCCCCACTGTGCGGCGTTGTCCGTGTTCCGAGTCACGGAGTCCGTGTTCGTGACAGGACCCCGCCCTGAAGTCGAAGCCCCCATACTCCGACGTTCTTGGCGAGCTCGAGTCAGGGCTACCACCATCCGAACGAAATCCCGGGGTGCCGGGCTCGGTCGGTACGTTCCTGTCTGGCTCCCGTCTATCCCGGAGCTCATTCTTTCTCCGGCCGTCGAGTAGTGCAGAACGCCTCGTAGTGGTAAAACGTAAAGCCGCGCTCGGTTGCTCGGTGGAACGCGGACGCCGCACGGATACGTAGAAAACGCGAAACCCGCGTTCACGCGGAGTAAAGCGTTTTGCGCGAGGATACAGGAGAGAGAGTAACGACGACGTTGTGATCTTGGAACGATATTTTTCTTCGTCAGTTTGTGCGCGCGATACTTGACTTTCTCGGGGCATAGAGGGAGGCGAACACGGACACGGACACGGCCGAAACTCCATAACGGCGGGAACAAAGGAACAGCCTCCTCGGGAGTCTTGGTAACGCGAAACGATCGATCGTTTTGCATCAGCGTTGCCCGGGTGTTCGCGATAATCGCATCCCGCGTCTGGAAATCGACCATCGCACACACGCTTCTCTCCGCGAGGGTGAGTTTCACGCGTATCGCGATCCGTCCGTCGTGGCACCGGCTGATCATTTTCGATCGCGACGGAGATGAAACGCGGGTACCTGTTGGTGATTTAGAAGTCGAGAAACACCGTACACGCACCAGAGTCACGGAGGAAAAATTGAGGGAGGGACAGAGGTAAAAGAGCGAGAACCAGGGGCAAACGCAGGGAAAAGGAAAGGACAGAGGGGAGAGAAGAAGAGTGAACGCGCGCGAGTGGAGCGTGCGAGCGAGCAATACGTTGGTGACAGAAAGACGGTCGGACGGACAGACGGACGCCGCTTCCCCTCCGCTTCTCTCTCTTCAGTCGGTCGCGCGTTACCGAGCCAAGTGGATGAGTTCGCGATCGTGCTCCCGCTAAAAAAAACTCTGTCGTCTTTGCTCGATATTCCGCGTTCGGTGTTTTCCTCTTGCTTTATATCGCGGCAAGTAATCCTCGTGTGCCTGCCAGCGGCTTCACCTCTCGTTACTCTCGTCTCTGTCTAGACGCCACGCACCGTGGTACGCGCCCGCCGCTGCCACCACCGTCGCCGCCGCCACCGCCGCCGCTGCGCCTCCTCCTCTTTCTCTCGGAATAATATTATTCAGTGTGTTTCTTGTGGCGAGTTACGCTCTTCTCTACGAGGGAAAATTTCTCTCGGCAACGGCAATCAGGACCACCCTCTCTACCATCCAGGTGAGTAACAACCACCCCCCGAATGCCGGTCGTTCGCTCTTTTCCGTTTGTTTCGCGCGTGCCCCGCAGGGTGCACACCTTGATGGTCTCCGCGTGGTCTTCGATCCACGACACGCCACGTTTCGCGTCGCCTTTCGTCATCGCGACGCCGGTCATTGTCTCGATATTTCGAGGGCCGATTCGCCGGCGAAAGGTCGCGCGTTTACGCGTCATTTTCGGTCGGTTTCTGTCAAGACCACGAGTGACGAACGGTAACGCGTCGAGCGGGATTTCGTGCACGTACCCCCGCGCCATTTTGAAGGTGGGCACCACCGTCGATCGATATAGCAGCCGCCGTTGCGAGACTCGGCTTTCAATTTTATTCGTTCGTTTTCTTGTTTCGTTGGTTCGTTCGGCGCTCGAGCGATTCCGTCCATCGCTGCGTCGTTCCGTTGGCCAACGGTCATGGAAGGCCCCCACGGTCCTGATCGAAGGATCGTTGGGAGTTCCAGCCAGTTACGCCATCTTGATTCCATCTCCCACCAGTTCGTCGATATTAACCCCCGAACGATCGTACGTACGTGCGATTTCAAGACCCAACCGGTGACCTTTCCCTTCAGTCTCGATTGATCGAAATCTCGCGACCGTGCACGCACGTTATATTCCATTTATTCCACGGCTGTTCGACTTCGCCAGGGTCGGCGGGGCTAACGTAACCATGAGAGATGGAATTTTTTCGAAATTGTCCGACCGGACACCGTGAAAAAATTGACAACGAAACTGCTTTGTCCGCTCGCAGATTTAGTGGCGTTCGCTTGTTGCCATGGCGAAAGAGAAGCGAAGAGAGGGATAGAAAGGAGATACGTTCTTACCAACCCGGGTGCCTTAAACAGAGGCGACGTGTCTGCTTGCCTGCTGCTGCTTGCTTGCTTGTTCGCTTGCTTGCTTGCTTGCTTGCTTGCCCACAGTTTCTCTTTCTCTCTCTCCTTTGTGCCGATTTTGCATAGCAGGCCTCTACCTGCCGTGCATTTAAAACGCAGTCAAGGCTTCCACGGAAGCGATTGTTGTCGCTCGGGGAATGGCAACCGGTGGAGAAAGGCCGAGAAAATGCTGGCCTGGCTAGCTGGCTAACAGGCAGGCCATTCTCTGTATGCGCCTTGGCTCGATCTCGTTCTTCGCGCTCGGAGCCTCGTCTTACGATTTTCACTAAACTTTTCCTTTTCTTGGATCATCCCGCGGGGCAACGAAACTTGCAGGAATTTCGTTCCACGTGTCTCCGTAGTCGTCTTGTAACACCTGGAACGTGCATCCTAGATATTATCGATTTATCAGAGTTCGATTGCTGGCACGTTGGTCGATGATCGCGGTCTCGTTCGCTTTGTCGTCGTTTCGCGATTTGCCACGCACCGGGCACTGGCCACCGCCGCTCCTAACCCTCCCTCGCTCCGCGCCAATGGCTTTTTCCCTCCTTACCGCAATATCGGCAGCAACCAGTTTCAGCAACGGCGAGTCCACGCCATCCACGCGATAACGGGTCGTTAACTTGCCCACATCTGCCTTTCTCTCGTTTACACGAACGAAGAAAAGAGCTGTTGCTCGGGCAGGCGTGTACGCCCGTAGTCGCGGAGCGCTTTTGAAACGCCTCGCGGTTCGACCGGTTTTTCGCGAGAACGCTTGTGCGTTTCACGACTCCTCGATACTTTTCTTTCTATCGTTCGATTACATTAAAAACACACATCGATTCTCCACTTGACTTACAGTCGCTTTTTATTTAACAAATAATACAGAAAAGTTCGCTAGCACGTGTTCCCACCCTACCTACGTCCCTTCGAACGCCATAATAATGGTACGTAAGGAGAGGAATAGCCATCGCAACGATCGTACTTCGATCAGTTATCTTCTTCTATCGCTCTTGTGCAAGTTTGCTCTTGTTATCCAACACCATTCTCGTATACCATACCTTATCTCCGCGTATTTGCTCGTGTCTTTAGACCCGGCTTCCAGGGATTGTTCGCTCTTTGTGCGGGCAACTTCCATTCCCGGCTGTGTTTACGCGAACAAGAATAGTCAGCAAAAATAGATCGGTCTCTCGGTACTTGGGATACGCGTATATTTTTAAGTCCGCGTCCGAGCAGCGGGCCTACCCTATTCTCCGGTGGCGTGGCTCCTCTCCCCGACCTTTACACCCTCTCGCGCGGCCAGGGTGAACTTTCCTATCTGCCCTTGCGACGTCGATGCTTTTCATCGATACGCACACCGCGTGCTGCACACGCACGTGTGCCCGACCGGACCAGCGGATTCGTTCACGCATGCGGGACACGCGGCTGAATACGGGGTTCGACGATGCGTAGCCACATTCTCTCCCGGCACGCTCATAATTCTCAATTTCGAGAACAGTGGGCCGAGCAGATGTCCTTTTTCGGGGACGAAACGTTGGCCTAGGTTCTTTCCCTCGCTTCCTCGTTTTAAATACTGGCCGCCTGTGAAAATAACGATGACAATCTGTTCCCTGAACATCGTCACGCTAAACATTGTTGCAACTGGAAGTGAAATTTTTGACAGATAACGGAGCAATTAGGCGAACACGGGAGCTCTCTGTTCGGCATAACTCGGTCGGTTGCCCGTGCGTGAACGATTCGTCGAGGAAAGACAAAAGTGATTAACTGGATTTCGAAGAATTTTCTGATTCACTCGTTGTATGGATCGACACTGCGTTCCATTCCTATCGCTTCACGAGAATTCGGTATTTTTAACGATTTTCCGTAATCTTTTACATTTGCTAATTTTGTTTTAAAAAGTGCTAGGGATCTGTTGTCGAAAATTGAGTAGTTTCCAAGTTCTGATTATTCTCATGGAAGCGAGAGGCACGCTGTGCGTGGTGGCGAGCGATCTTGGCGTGGCATCGTCGTTAAAGCCTTTAATGTTCTTCGACGCCAATGACCTCTGAATGTGCTTATTAATCTATTGAGCGGATCTGTAGGAAGAAATCTTGTTGCACGTTTCATTTGTACGCTCGTTCGCCTCGCAGTGAATAGATAATTAGCTCGGGCATAAGTCTGCGGATCTGCGAAACTGAAATCGTAATTTGTATCTTTCGCGCGTTGCAATTTTTCCTCATTTTTATCGCGAACCACACGAGCAAATACCGGAGTAAATAGAGTCATAAGCCGATCGGATGATACACGTTCGCGCGGAATTTGATCTCGTAATACGTATCGATGGTAAATCGTTCAGAAGTAACCGTCCAAGTCGATTTTACGGACGTAAGCAGTGTACGCGATAGTCGAGATCTCGAGTTATCGGTAGCCAGATCGCACCGTGACTCAGAGGAATGACACGATTCCGTTCGCTGTTTGCCTTGTTTTCAGAAAATTGTTATGCACGGAGTCGTTGAACCGGTGTCCGGGATCGTGAATCGGTGAAACAAGTGGTTCGAACGGTGGCCGACTTCCTTTCGTGCTCCTTTATCCTTTCGGTAGCGTTGTGTTTTGCACCAATGGCGCAATGCAACAGAAAGCTAGTTTTTCCCCGGGAACATTAGTTTCGAATCGAAGTACCGTGCTACTTGATTCTGTTCGTTCCCTTTTCCTCGTGCCACGTAATATTTATTCAACGGTACTTGGAACGGTTCTTGGATTCGCTAATTTTCTAGCAACTTCTGCCTCAGTGTCTGTCAGAAACAACTATACGGGATGTAACTATTCCAATACCGTACAATTTGTTTGCATATATATTTACCACGTTTTCTTAAGAATTCATCCTGTCAACGTGTAGCAGTGAACGTGTGAAATACACGGACTGGACACGAGTACGCCATCGTCTTGCCTCGTATCTCGTTCGACTTTGCTACGCCGTGCCAGTTTTTAGCAGTCCTTGCTCGAACAACGGAACGTTTCCTCTTTTCCCGTGAAAGAAGCTTCGGACACACGACCTCGAAACCGTTATCCAGAGTCCACAACCTTTTAACGACTCGCAGTCCATTTTCTATGGCGATAATTAGAGAGATCGAGCCTATGAAAGGATCCTTTTGTTTCTTGCATTTTTATCTCCTTCGCCTTTGGACGTTGATTTTTCTTCGAACAGCGTGAACCAAAAGTATCGACGATTTCCATTCGTACCATTCGGAAAAAATTAATACAAGTTCTTCCACAACAACAAGGTTTAACAGTAACAGTTTTAAAACGATTGGAAATATAAAAATATGCAATTGTCTACAAAAAAGTATTAAGATACTTATACCCTAAACCTAATTGTTGAAGGATTGTAATACTTATAAATTGTTTTTAAATTGCCTCTACTTTGATCACACATGTCCTTAGGCATATTCAAGAAACGTGTATATGCGAGCGACGTGACAATCAGAGTGTTATCATTTTTCTTGATTACAATGCTATCGTTATAATTGGAAGACTAAAAAAAGCCTGAAACGCAATTTCATCGTGCGTGACTTATGTCGTATTTTGGATCGTTGAATCACCTCTTAAAATATCAGTAGATAAACACCTCGTATAAGAATGGTTGGGGACCTGTCCTTTGCGTACATTGATCAGCAAACAGCGATAAGTTTCTCCAGCCGTTCGACGCGATATCGTTAATGTATGTGCTACGAGTTGCATTAAAAATCCGTGATCAAATCTTTGGCAAATGGAAAGTATAGAAATGATCGACATTCATTTATTGAAGGGGACGGAAATAACACGATTGTCGATAAAATTTTTTAGTTCTATGATAAGATTTTGTAAGATTCTATATTACGTGGCCCTATGTATTCGGTATTATTCAGCGGAAAGAGAGAAACCGAAGGCCCATGAAAGAATGTTTCTATTTTCCATTACGTCGATCCATGCATACCGATTCGTATGACGGAATGCAAGCAAGTAGCTGGTATTTACTCGGTTTCGCTGGTTGATTGCAGGTCAGTGTTTCGTTGGACGCGCAACGCCCGATCTCAGCATCTGGAAAGCGCGAGAACGGGAGGCAGGTGAGTCAGAGGAAGGATAGATAGGTAAACGGAGCAAGATGGGTGCGAAACAAAGTAGAAGATCCGTGGACATAACGACCACTCCTAAGAAGGAGGGGATACCGACCGACGGAGGTGTCGTTCTCGGTGATGCAGCTGCACCTGGCGATGGTAAATTGGAAAGGATCGAGGAGACGGACACGAAGCCCACCACCAACGGCATAGCGCCGCACACGGACACGATCGAGGATAAAGACAAGGACAAAGACGATGTTACGGAAAAGGAAAAGGTAACGCCCTCGATCGAGGGAAATTCGATCTTTTTTTTTCTACTATTCCCTACATATTTCCTCGTCTCGATACTTTCAACGACCAGCAAATTTTAGGCATAAGAGTACCTTAATACTTGTTTTTACTGAAATTAAAAAACTCCATCGAACAGAGTATAGGAACATAGTTGCAGTACAAGCTTCAATCTTTAAAATTACTCCAGAAAGATTACTTTATTTTTCACGTATCCGACGCAATATTTTTTAATTATTTGTATCGGGAAATTCGATCTTTTTTTTTTCTACTATTCCCTACATATTTCCTCGTCTCGATACTTTCAACGACCAGCAAATTTTAGGCATAAGAGTACCTTAATACTTGTTTTTACTGAAATTAAAAAACTCCATCGAACAGAGTATAGGAATATAGTTGCAGTACAAGCCTCAATCTTTAAAATTACTCCAGAAAGATTAGTTTATTTTTCACGTATCCGACGCAATATTTTTTAATTATTTGTATCAGTATCGAGAGAGACACCTCTCGAGTGCAAGTTGATGTCGTTCGATGATTTCCAAGGAACACCTCGGCATTGTCGGTTCTTCGTATCCTAAGTCGCTCTAATAACATCGTAAACGATGATTCACGCGTATGCGCGACGGTTTTTTCAACGACTTCCTCGGCACGCTGAAAGTTATCGTTCCGCGAAACACGTCAATGAATCAGCTTTCTCGATCGCGGCGAATGTAGTCACCTTTTTAAAGGAATTATTATTATTATTGTTCGAGACATCGCGTTGCACGAGCGACGATCGAAAGACATCGCGTGTACACGCGTTAACTTGTACTATTCTGAGATCGACCTAGAAGATATGCTAGGTGTGCGACACGCACGAGACGCTCTCGCTGGTAGAAAAATTGAAATAGTTTTGCCGAACGGAACCTCGAAAGGATAGAGAATTGTACCATTGCAGTTAGAAATCTTCGAATCGCGTAGAAACTATCTAATTATCGTCTAATTACAAATATAATCAGATTAGATTTCGACCAACCAAGGCATATTTGTTTCGCGAGATCAATCTGGACGAAACGGAATTTAACGTCCGTGAATTTTACGCGACGCGAGAACGAAAGCGTTGCTCGCTTCGAAACGTTTGATATCGCGCGAACGTAACGCGCGTATCAATTTCTCAATCTCGCTTTCACGCACCAGCTACGGAAACCACGTTACCGTAATCCTCGCGAGAACGTACCCCGATGGCTAAACGTAACCAACAAATTATTCTTTCTATAAACCTTTCGAATCTTTAACTCTTGTTCGGGTCAATTACAACGCGCGGTATTAAACTAATCGTGTTTCGCCGCATAAGCGTTCTCACGCTGACGCATTCCATCTGCTTTTCTAGGCGAATGAACCTCTCGTCTTGTCAGACGGAATTTCCACGATCCAAATGTCTGCATTTATTTCGGTTTGGGCATAATTCGCAGGAGGGGCGAGCGATATTAGACGCCAGCGTGTACCTACGTCCGTCAGCATCGGGTGGCGATCTTGCAAAATCTTAAGGCAGGTGCGCGCGACCACTTCGAGAGCCCTCCCTCCCGCCTAGCAGTTCGCATCGAACACCTGCCCTTGATACTTCGTCGCGGCGAAGGTTGTCGATCCTTTATTTTTCACGAGCAAGGATCTACGACGCGGAGGCGACGCCGCGCCGGGCACCCGCCAGCCAGCGTTTCGCGAATAATTTAAGATATATCTGCGGGTTGGTCGCGCGAGGAAACGAGTCAGGCTAATGGAAAGACCGGACCTTACTTTTGTAACCTTGACCATGTCATTTAACGACGCTAATACACGATACACGCAGGTTCGCGTATACAACGAGCACGCTCCCTCGTGCCTCGATTAAATCACAATTTCCAAAGTTGTACGTACAATTTCTTCTCGAAGCTTTTTCCTGTTTGCATTACCATAGGCGGGTTCGTAGCCAAGGGAAACGCGTGTTTCGAATTGGGTCGATTTGTCACGAAGCAGTTCGACCGCTCGAATTTCACCCGTTCTTCTGCGTTCCTTTATGCGAACCATGGAACGATTGTTCCATAATTCTCACGAGCCTCGCTACAAAACGAGCTCATTTAATGGCGCGTCTTCGAATGGTTCGCCGCGGTTGCACAGAAAACGAACCCTTCGATTTAGTAGGGAGAACAGAATCGATCACGGCAGGCTCGCAATTATCTGCACGAAACTCGTAAATTCTCGAGTGTCCTTGACCGGCGCCCTTCGATCTTTTATTATTATTTACGCCATAAAATTAACAAGTTTTCTAATCACGTCGATCCGTTGGATCTTTCCCACGACTTGCATCTTTGTAGACTTATTGTACAGGTACTTTTTCTTCCTTTTCTACACGCTTCTCTTTTACATTATTTCTTACGATATCGCGCCACGTGGCTCGTATACGCTCATATGCAACGTTTACCGTGATTTTGTCGAATGAAATCGATCGTTTTAATAGCCGTGGTGTGCGATGGTGATTCAGCTGTCTGGAATTCTTTGCAGAAACTGCACCTGCACCCGCTGGGCCCCCGTCCTTCGACGCAGCCTCGAACCGCGGATTTCTTCGTATTCCGATATTGTTCGATCGACAAACGCAGATTTTTTTATCGTTCGCGCAAGGTTTGTGCACCCGCTTGCATATCAAATCCCGGACAAATCATTGGCGATCCATCGATAGACCTTTGTTCGATTCTTTTATTTATAACTCGCCGCGCATCAGACGTGCGTTCCCATGAATATTTACGTCGTGCGTGGACTAGAAAAATTAAAGATATCCGAGTCGCGTTCGTCTAATTCGTTCCATCGTAGATAAATATGGTTCGAGTTCGTGTTGTCGAATTGTTCAAGTATTCCAGAAAGTCAGTCGATTCAGGTAACATTCTGCAGCAACCTATTTTTACCTGTGTACCTTTGGTTAGAAATTCCAAGGTTTATGGCAGGACTGTGTGCTGGAGTATAATGGGATTTTAATTTGGTAAAACGACGAGTTTTAGACCTGTCGTAATCCTCGCCTAACGGTGACTGCGAATCGATTGTAACCATGGGGCGGTTTATGGCCCTGTCTGCGTCACAGTCCAGGAAAGTTGAATTAGTGAAATTTGAAAATTGAAGCATGCCTCGCAATCACGCTTTCACCGACAGCGCATAGATCTTACAATAGATAATAAAATCCGATCGGTATCGGAGTGTACATAGTCGCGGGCGTGTTAGGATCGTCTGTAACGGGGAACGTGTAAACGATGATGAAATGGAATTGTTCCGGAGGATTTGCATCGATAATAAAGCCGGCTGGATGTTTACACGATTCGTGGCGTTAAAGAACGGTCTCGGTCGCGGTCCCGTCGAGCGGAGCGGCAAACAATGCTTGTCGTCGGTTCATCGTATTTCATTAAACGAAGATAATGCGCGTCGGAACGTCGGAAATAATGATTCGTGAAGAAGAATAACTCGGTATCGCGTCGACGAGGAGAGAGTAATATCGTATTCTTCGATTGTTTGTTCGCCACGGGACAGTGACGAATGCGCGTAGATCGGCTCCGAGAATCGCTGTCCAATCGAAGAAACGATGCGTATACATGCCAGCCAACCAACCAGCCAACCACACTTTCACTCTTTAAGGCCGTCGCATACTTAGCAACACGACACGCGAACGGCATCGGCACGTTCACGTTATCGTATATACTTTAAATATGAATGCGTCCGCTTGTCGACAACACCGCGCCGCGCGCGCTATCGACGCTCTTCTGCACCGATACAACAGTCGCAGGAATTTTTGCGTGAATATTTCGCGCTATCGGTCGATGGTAAACGATTCATTTTATGCGTACGATTTTTGCAAAATAAAGTCGAGGGTAAGCAAGATAAATCTTTTAAAAGATTTCGTAACACCGGTGCACCTTTACGAACCGCTAATATCAGCCAGCCGGGGCGCACCTGCCACGGACGTATTCCCGATATTTGCATCGAAGAGTTTACGTCGATGCGGTTTTCCTTCGTTTCACCTGAGCGTGATTTTGGATCCGATAACGCATTAATACGCCGTTGGTAGGACGAATCCAGTTTGACAACATGTTGGTCGGCGGTGGGATGAATCCAGATTCGGCAACAGGTTTTCCTTTACTTTTGATTGTTTTCAAACCGGTTCTTTCGAATTCTCTTATTTAAGGCGTCAACGAAGAAAATTTATTTGACCGAATTGATTGCGTTCTGTTTCAGCAGGATGAGGTAAAGGCTGAGGAGACGAAGCAAGAGTCGGCTGGAGAATCCGCCGCGGAAACGGCAGAGGTCACGACACCCACAGAAACGACTCCCACTAGTCCCAATGCCGCCACTTCTCCCGAGACCAAGGAAACCAAAAAAAAAGACAAGGTGAAACTATTCTATCGAATAACATTAACGATGCACCGAAATTTCACTTTGCAAGCTATCCTAATCGACCATGACACGCTAATTATTCATTTTTAACACCAAATCTACCACGATCGATCGAACGATTCATATTTCTTTGTAAAAAACAAAACGTGCTATCAAGTTGCAGTTAGCTTCTAATGTAAATAGGTATTATGTAGCAAAGATAAAAAGAAAGAATCTTCAGGTTTCACTATCTGGGAACAGTCTAACAATGCGTATTAAAAGTACAGAAACTTTACACGCGTGCAGCTCCGAAACCACTCGCGATTTATCCATAATTGATCCAGCATTAGAAGCGGGGAAGCTTCTCCTTTGAAATGGCTTTTGGTTTATGACGATCCGACTTTCCGTTTTCGAGATATCGTCGTGTAAAGTTAACTATGTCTCGCTCTCCGCCTTACGAAAGCTTATTAACGCGTATTAAAAATAGTGAAACTTTAGACGAGTGTAGTTCCGAAACTACTAGTGCTTTATCCATAATTGATCCAGCATTAGAAGCGACAAAGCCTCCCCTTTAAAATGGCTTTTGGTTTTTGCCGATCCGACTTTCCGTTTCAGAGATATCGCAATTTATGTGAAAGGTAATTTTTTTAATTCGATTCTCTCTGTCTCCGTCTAATGCATCGGACCTCCTTGTCGCACGTGAGTCGTGACTGTCGTGACCCAGTTCCGTAGTGTTTCCAAGAATTTACTACGCACTGTTTACTATTACTACGCGTGGTCATTGACCTCGCGTCAATGAACGTAAAAAAACGCTTCGGACCCTTATATCTCCGTAACTAGCCACCGCATCGACTCGAAACTAAAATCGCTATATCTCCGGAACTAATAAAGCTATCGACTCGTTCGAACGCTCGTTTTAAAGGGCATTTCATCCTCTACCCAATGACCATATCACCTGCTATAATTTTTGCTATCTGCTATGTTTATTTTGAAATTTACTTTGACTCTACATACCTACAGATGTTTTGGCAATTCCTAATGCTGGTATGCGATAAAACTGGGTTATAAATTGTTTATTTAAGTGAAAATTAATTTAAATTTGTAGACAGGATGTTCGCGTAATTACTAGTCGGGACTTTTTGGTAAATAATTGTTTTCCCCGGAATTAACTTCGGTATCGACTTGAAACAAGATCATTTGACCGGTCGTGGTAGGAATGGGTATATATATATGAAGTGTCGGTCGGTTTAGTGTTAGATAGCGTATAGACCAAAGACAAAGTAATCCACGTGGTCCAGAAACCCCCAAAAAACTAGCAAAAATCAGACAATATATATTATATCAGATATATCGAACAAATGAATTTTGACAGCACTTCTGGCGTTTTTTTGTCAATCGAAGAGAACGCGTGCTCGGATCTCGCGTATCGATTGCTTTGCCACTTACGTCTATACGCGGCTTTAGAGAACTAAGACACATCGTTGCGTGTAATGAGTCCTTCGATCGTTATCGATGCCATTTCCTCGTCTATAGATGAAGAAAAAGTGGTCCTTCAGGTCGATCAGCTTCAGCAAGAAGGATAAAAGCAAACCTGCCCGCGATGAAGCACCCAAGAATGGAGACGTCACCAAGGAGGAACCACTCGCGGAGGTGAGTAAAGAATCCTGCCTTATCGAGTCCACGTACGCGCTTGTTGCACCACCTTGATTCAATCAAGATAATGGAAAAGAAAAACAGAGTTACGACGGCTACCGATTTTTGCGGCTCCATCGAGATCAGGCGTACGAAATAAAGGCTCGAGTCATCCGGACACGAGCGTGATGAACGCTCGGGCTTGATTTCTGCTCTCTTCGATTCTCATACAATCGACCTAGCGTTATAATCGAGAACGACCATGCGATAACCGTCACGGATCGAAAACTCTGTCGGTGTTTAATTGCCCTCGAGACGTCTAATAAATTTTCCGAGAGATTCGTGTTTATCGGAGATTTATTTTACAAAAGAGATACGCGAATACCAAGAACGTTCGAACTGAACAAAGTCAATTATAATATCTAGCCGCGTTTGAATTTTTTCCCCATCGTGGATATTTATAGCGTCGTAGCCTTGATCGCATGGCCCACGGATGGTTATCGGTAAAAGCTATTCTATTACTACGAGACGCGTCAGTTCGTCGGAAAATTTATTAATTCTGGCCTATAATCGACGATTTCGATCACCTCTTCTCGCGGTAACGCCAACGAAGGTTAGGGATTTTACGGAGGAGCGGTCACGCGAAGTTGTCGATGACTCGAATCGGCGCTTAATTGGATCGAGGAGTGAATCTTTCCGTTAGATGGCCAATAGTGGGAATACGCTTTGCTTGGGAGCAGTTGCTCGCTATAAATCGCGTCGCGGGGCGAATGTATACATATACATATAATAAGTAGCGAGGTTTGGACGTCTCCTTCTTCTTGTTCTTCCCTCTGGTTGTCAAGCTAGCCGCGTGTAGGCGAACGTAGCCTCGAGATCGTCGGGGCTAATCCTCCGCGTTTCTTTACCACCTTCTTCATCTTCTCTTCTTGTCCGTGTCTCGCGTCGCGGGCTAGCCGCAGACTCCTTCCTTTTACTACAGCTGCACACACCACGGCGTAAAGAAGAGAGGAGTGGGACAGACAAACAGGCCGTGACTCATCCTTCTGGTTCGTCGTACCTCGCGAGTTTCGTGATAGGCCGCCATGGAAAACCGGCTTCGAGTCACTGAATTATCCCCCTGTTCTCCGTTGCCGCTTCAGGGCTATTCCGTCTGTACCTAGTGTCTCTTCACGTTCTGTCTCCGTTACCCTTCGCGGAACACGTAATCGTCCTCGCCGTCTCTGTCCCCGCGGCCGTGATCGAAGATGAAATAAGTCGTTCGTGACCGTTGACTAGCCATCTTTGTAAAATTGACTCGTCGAGGCTCGTGTGTCGGTACGATCGAACGTCCGCCAGACAGACGTCTGTGGTTTGAAAATTTTGTGCTCGACCGCCGGTTTAGAATTAACTGGATCGACGACGACACACGCTCGTCGGATTACGTTCTACGTTTTCCACCTTACGTGTGCCTACGCTGGGTACTTCACGTGCAGCCTATCGCTAACAATCTCACCGAAAGGTTGCGCTCCTCCGCGGCGAAGCGAACGCGCGAACTTTGGGACCGCGACTTTCACTCTTCCGAAGGAACAACCGACATTCCGAGTCATTAAGGAATCATAACGAGTAGTAGTAGTGGTAGTAATAACGACAGTCTGCGTGCTTCGTAACATCAAGATGTCTTTGTACAACGAGTAACACGACACCGACTCCGAAGCGTGCAGAATTTATTGCTCTATGCCTTGTTATCCTCTATTTCATGCAGAGTTCCACGTCCTCCAAATACTTTCGATTCTTGAAAAGCTTTACTTAGACATACTATCGTCGATATGGTTTAAGGAGAAAGGATGGGAACAATTATAATGTGTATCTCGCGAACGAGCAGCGAGAATCGATCGAAAGCGTAAAAGCCTCCTACGATGTGGAGCGAGCGTCGATATCCTACGGGAAGCGAGGCATATCTGTTATTGAAATCGGTAATGGGGCTGCCCCGGAGAGACCGATCGACGATCGACTACGCTTCTATCGCTCATTGTGCTCGCTGGTAACGCGGTTCAATGGCCCAAACTTCCCGGATACGCTTACCTACGCAGCGAGTTATTTTGTCACGAAACAAACTCTTCGGTTCGGCGTACGATGCTCGCTCGCATCGCATGCACCCGTGGACTCTACGTTTTCGAACGTCATCGTCGACCAATCCACTGGCGCACGCACACACACACCCCCGTTAGGCAAGCGCCTGTCCTATCGACGATCAGATTTCCCTCGCCTTATCCCTCTGCTCGAGGTTCATTCACCGGTGATCCAAAGTACTCGTCGTCGCGCGATCAAATTAAGTCTCTTTCTTACATTTCTGTTGTACGCTTCCAGAGAAGACAATAATAATATTCCGGAAAGAAGTTTAATCGCTAATTCTAGATTAAATTGTAAGACGAAGAAAATCGGGCGTAGGATTCGTTTAAAGTGGAATTGGTTATAAATTGATCGTCGATGACGAGCCGCCCTCGCGAAAGAACGCCTTTTTGTCTCCCCGTCGTATTCTCGGTTTCGCACCTACGCGAATATCACATTGTTTCCAATCGCTCGCCGACCGAAAGCTTTGCAGATGGGGTGTGGTCGCGCGAGACTCGTTCTTTGTGTCCCCTTTTACCGAGCTGGTTCGTCCAGCAACGCGTGGGGCGTTTGTATATTTCGTGTCTCCGGATGACTTGTAAAGAATTGTAAAGGAAACGGCGCGAGGGAGTAAGGAGAGTTGCACTTCCGCATGGAAGGAGCGGTATTAATTAGCAGTATAGGAAAAGTGTGTGGCGGATGGAGGTCTAACGGAGGATCGAAGGTAAAAGGTTGTCGGGTGTCTCTGTCGTGGCGAAGGTTAGTTTCGCCTCGCGTGACTCAGCCCTCCCGGAAAAAAGAAAACACCTGTACGGCGAGGGTTAAGGGCAACGTACCAGAGGTTTTGCGAGCTACGCTCGTGCCAAGGTAAGGGGGCGACAGAAGCTTTCGCTGGGTTCTTTTGTTCCAACTGTTTCATGGTCACGAACCACGTACACGCGACTTTTCCGCAAATACGTACACCTTCCAACACCAGACTCGTCTCTTGGTGGTATCGTATAAAGAAATTTTCATTGTGATTTCTTATACCAGAAAATCCTTTATCGAAAAATGTTGGATTCTGTTGTTCTTACACGAGCGATTATTCGACGAGAAACGCGATTTGTTCGAATATTAAGAGCACGATCGTAGTGCATCGGGATGATCGAAATTTATGTGACATGTGACGAGAGACACGGCAGTCCTGGCGGTCTTAAAATATGTCACAGTTGCAGTTCCAGTTGTACATGCAACGGTACATGCATACACCGCGAAGAATACGTCGCCGCAACAGTGGCAAAAGATCGAGCGGATGGTTAAAAACCGGTTTGATTCGCCACGGATGGCGTCTTGGTAGTCTCTTACTGGCTTCGATTTCGATCCTAATAGCCACGAATGAAATTCATCCGATGACCGTGTTCGGGTTTATCCATACCGTTGTAAATTTTATAATCTTCGAAAGTTGATATCGTCTTGTTCCAATCGATGAGTTCGATGATAAAAAGCCCGCGGAATAAGAACGTCGACGAACGTAAACGAGACGAAACGGGTCGAGGGGTCAACTTAATTAATTAAAGCTTGACGGGAAAAAATTCAACGTCGTCGAACGAACGGTTTCGCGTGAATCACACGGGCAAGAAGCAACGCACGCGAACGCTTTATAATATCGTGCCGAAGTTAATTGCGCGTATAAAGACGTGTAAAAAGATTCGCAAGAAACCACGCTCCGGCTGCGGCGTTCCGCTCGATTCCTTCGAGCAGCGAGTGCAACTACGTCGTAGGGAAGGGAGAAAACAAATTCTCTCGAGCGTTTCGTAAATCCTTGAATCCCTACAGGCGGTCCTAATCGCCAATTAACTAGGCGGCTCGTTAACGAGATCGCAATGAATTTATCTGTTAGCGCCAACACCTTTTTAAGAAAGCGGACGTGTTTGGGCTAACGTCTCGAGAATCTTGTATCGCGTGTCACTCGTCGTGGTTTAAGGGGCCATTCTACCTTGTAGGCATGAAAAATACGTGTTTCTTTGTGATTTTTTTTTTGCGGGTTATTAAAGAGCGATTAATTCCGGATTTTGTAGATACATTTATTATATATTTAGCTATATTTACGAATTTTTGTAACGCATAATATCTATTGATTACGCTGTTTTTGTTGATCATCAAACGACAGTTTTTACGAACGGCACCCGACTGCCGTACGTGATATCTTGCGAACAAGTTATTCGAAATCCTAAAACCAACGATATTCTTAATATAGATGAGTGTGGTTATAGCATGAACTAGGATCTTTTAAAAAAAAAAACAAAAAATGGCAAAATGGCAGCTATTTTACGAAAAAATACTGAATATTTTCATATATTTGGTTGCTTTTTTGTTAATAAAAGAAAACGTATTGCATATATCGCAATTATCCTAGTTCATGCTATAGGGAGACCAGTTCTGAAGATACTGTATAAATTTGATGTTGATATCTTGAATAGTTTTTTAGTTATCACGCACGCAGTGCCGAAAAATGTAGTTTCGAGAAAAACAGCTTTAAAGTTTCACGTCCAGTTGTTATACCTGCACGCGGTACATTTCAACAGGCTATAACTTCGTTAGTTTTTCAAATTTCAATTTAATATTTGGTAGACATATTTTCGAGACTACATACTAAAGGAAAATGCAAAAAAAAAAAATATCGATTTTTTTAATCCCACAAGGTAGAAAGGCCCCTTAAGTTGAACAGGTGTGCCACCGCGATTCTATGTATCGCGGACGTGTGATTTCGAAGTGATGGCAAAGAGCTCGATGCTTTGTTGCTGACCGCCGAAGGGGAGCGTGTACGGGATCGATGACCCGACGGTCATCGAAGCATCGTCGAATACGATAAAGATTTGAACCAAAGGATCTCTGGCCTCGAAGTTACGTTTTGAGAGGTGAGAGGACTGTGACGACCCTTTACTCCG